TTCACACACATTTCTTTTTTGTCCAGTCATAATACATGTCATGAAGAGCTGAGTCTAAACCTGATGGGGCTCATTCAGGATCAGGAGGAGATAAAGTTTCTCAGGTGTCAGACGTTGATCTTGGCATCTTTACCAGCAGCTGCTCAGTCATCAGCTATCAGGCTCAGTAGGTTGTCAAGCATGTTTCAATACTTTTCAGCTGCCAGTCATATATACTCAGTATTTGTTGTGGATTTTGTTTTCTGAAGGAATATTATTTGTTGTGGCACTTTTTTTTTTTTTTGCTCAAGAGAAAGTTTGTAAACAGTTTTATGTAAGTGGACAAAAGACAAGTGGATTGTGCTCCAATCAAGGAGGGCAGCATTTTATGAGGTTTATATGATTCAGTCCAGTGTTTAATTAACAAGTCCAAAATCCTCATAGCATGAAACTCAGAGGAGGCCGTTGGCATCACCTTTTGAGAAAGTGGTATTTGTAGTCCATTGTCTTCCACCGTAAAGGCACAGGATGAGTACATAGCTGCGGTGAGAAGTGGGTTGGCACCGAAGAGTGAAAATGCTGCGATCCTTGTGATTAAAGTCACTCTTGGCTGGCTCGCCTCTTCTCCAGCTTCATTTTGAGTTCCTCATTGAGTGCTGTGCAAAGACACAAGAAACATGATAATATATAATATAATTTTCACCTTGTACCTGCTGCCACTTGGTCGCATAATAGCAGCTTTAAAGATATTTCTTACCACTGTTATGCAGATGACATTCAATTGCATATTTCATTTACTTCTCAAAATATTACTAAACTCTACTGAGCTGCATTAGCGCCATTAAAGACTGGGTGGCAGACAATTGATTACAGCTCAATTCTGATAAAACAGAAGTCCTTATATGCGCCCCTGTGGGCGCATTGTGCCCAGTGCTACTGAAAAACTTGGTTCCCTATCCATGTTTGTCAAGCCTGTTTTGCGCAATCTAGGCGTTTCTTTTGGTCAGTCTCTGTGTCTTGACCAGCATATTAATTGTCTTGTTTGCTCTTGTTTTTATCAGTTAAGACATATTACCAGACTTAAGCCCATTGTTCCCACAACTCAGATGGAGATGACTATTCATGCCTTCATTTCTTTCTGATTGGCTTACTGTAACTCACTTTTTACCTTCCTTTAACAAAACATCTCTTAACCGTCTACAATTAGTTCAAAATGCTGCAGCCAGATTATTAACCAGGACCTCCAAAAGGTCACACATCACCCCCATTCTGTTTTCCTTACACTGGCTTCCCATCAATTTCAGAATACAATTCAAGATTCTTGTTATTACTTTTAAAGCCCTGCATGGACAGGCACCAGTCTATATCACTGAACTTTAACGGCTGTAAACTCCCAGCAGATCTCTTAGGTCTTCTGATCAGGGTTTGCTGATAGTCCCACACACCAGATTGAAAACAATGGGAGACTGTGCTTTTCAGGTTGTAGCGGCAACATTTTGAAATGCTCTGCCTTTGGGCTAAAGATTTGTGGGAACTGTGGACGCTTTTTTTGTTGTTTGTTTATTGCTGAGGTTTTTTGTTGTTTGCTTTCTCCGTTCATTTCTCCTCCTTTTGTAAAGCACTTTATGACTCTGCTCTTGAAAGGTGCTACATAAATAAAAGTTATTATTATTATAACAAGAACTTGAAATCTTGACCCACTGAGCTGAAATGTAAGTGGAAATAAATCTGGTTGGAGTGCATCAGGTGATATCTGATTGGCTACTCACTCTGTGCAAGAGGTGACGGGGAAAGGATGAGGCGTCTCATTGGGTTGGTGGGCGAGGCTGGCACTGATGAGGTCAGGATGCGGCGGTCCGGGGCAGGGGATCTGGACAGCGGGCTACTGCACCAACGATCTGAAGCAGAATGGAGGCATTGATGACTATCATTACTGTCTGAGCAGGAGTGTCTGCTAGTTACTAAATGTAGCTGAGATAAACCTTGTTTTGGAGGCAGGGCAGGAGCCTTCGGCAGGGGGCTGGTGGGGGCGGTGTGGAGGATCCTTTCTCCGTTCTCATCATTGGCAGAAACGTATGCTGATGTCACAAACAAAGGTTCATTTGGTAAGTGTTATTGGTTTCTTGTACGAAAAAGCACAGGAAGACAAAATCCAAATCCTATGAATACGTGCGTACTGCATGGTGGGACTCACTGATATTCTCTTCATAAGGCTCCTCAAGTAGGAACGGTTGGAGAGCTCCTGCAGTCTTTTCCACAAGAGCGTCAATGACTTCATGAAGTGTAGCGCAAGGGATCTAGAAAAGTTCATTTGTATGGAGAATGAATTAGCTGTAGGTTAGTCCCATACAGACTATGATGTTGATGTCCAGGCCTGGACTGTCAATTGCAATTTCATTAAACAATAAAAATAAAAAAACACTCCAGAAGCTCTGAAAAAACACTTTCTGTGATTTTTATAATGAAAGAATATTGAACACAATAGTCCAATCCAGAAGGAGTATTATGAAGCACAACAGGTTTTGGCCATGATGTCACTGATCCACATTGAAAGTGTTTCTTTAGCTATACAAAAAGGACCTGCATAGAATCTGTCACAGCTTAATCAAGTATTTGCATCAGTATCAGGAGAGAAAGCTGGGTTGATGCAAATGTAACCTGAGCTTTTTTTTTTTTTTTTTACTGTAAATACAATCATAATGTCACACTATCATATCAAAACTGAAAATGCACTTACAGGATTTTCTACATCAATCACGTAACCGCCCTGATCCCTCTGAGTCACTCGATAATGTCTGAATACTGACCTGAAGCAAAAGGAGAGACACAGAGTGTATGTGTAGAATTGACACTGTGATGAGATTATTTTTGCAGCTGTGGTGTGCACACGTTCAGCCGTTTTTTTTTTTTACCCATTCAGGTCCTGTCGAGTCGTGACAGCCAGTGAGCACCCATCTCTGCCTGGACGGAGCAGCATGTTTCCACAATCTGGATGTCTCTCTAGGAGGACTTCAGCTTCTGTTCGAGAAACCGGCCGGAAACACCTGCATGCAAACAAACACACGGTCTAAATGGCAATACATTAATGCATGACTGACGGTCCGACACAGCTGAACAACTCACGGTGGGATCTCTCCTACTAAAGGCACAGAGAGGGGCGAGGGAGGAGCACGTGTTGGGGTGCGAGTTCTCCGCCTCGACCGCTCTTTGTCCACAACCTCCTTTAGCATCTGCAGCTGGCCAGGCAGCAAGGTAAGACAGGAAGGGACGTTAAGCTGTGATTGGACAAAAGAGATAATATTTATATGAGTCAACACAAGAACTGGAGAATAAGAATAACAGAGATGAATGTGTACAGAAGATGAATACTTGCATCTATGACGGAGTAGAGGAAACCTTTCCATAGCTCCCTAGATTCCAAGTTGGGTGCCTGGGGAAGACAACACACTTAAACACCTTTCAAAAAGTATGTATTTTAATGCATCTGTGCGTGTGTGTCAGGAATTATACCGTGAGTTTGGTCTCTCCATCCTTCATGCGCAGGATGAGTCTGGCTGCCTCCAGGTTCCTGTCTCGGCTGTAGTCATCCTTCAGCGACACGAACCCACTGAGGTCCAGCTTCTCCACATACTGTAGAACACACATTACACTTTTAGATACTACCCAGATGTACTTAAAAATGCATATATACAGTCCAAAACTTACATGAGCATCCTTGGCATTGTTGAAGAAATACAGAGAATTGCCACACAGACAGGTCCACAGACGCCTGGACGCCTGTCACACACACAGAAATAGAAGACATGTTCATTTGGACGAAGCACTGCTGCTACCGGTTTGCCCACATGTGTGTAAAGGATATTTCCTGTTTTATCACTCCCACATGCCCTGTCCCGAGAGATGGGGCCACAGCTGCTGACAATCTGGGGCCATGGACCAAAGCAATAGCCTGCACCTGAGCCAGACTCACATTACATGTCTATAATACATTAAAATGAGCCTAATGAGAGAGGGTGGGTCTAAATGGCAGGATATTCCATTCTTTATCACCTTATGTATAGATCATATAATACAAACAACATTCAATAGAAATATGAATGGGTAGCGCCAGATTCAATTTCTAACTTTAACATAGGCTATTTGAAATGCAATAAATGGATCAGTAATATAGCAACAAAGGAGTATTTTTTTGAGTAAGCAATGCATTCCAAGCCAGTGCTTTGTTATTGATATAAGGAATCAAGCCACAAATGGTTCAGGTGAATTGGCTTTTAATACTGACGGCAATCGGATTTAATACGTTTTTGTAGCATGCGCTCCCTGTCATAGTCCTGACAACATGACAAATCTGTGATTCATTTTATGGGAAAATCCCCAGTTGCACCAGGCTTCAGGCTCGCCTCGCCCAATCTGCACAACAAGGAAGTTGACAGTTCAGTGGGAAAATAGGGAGGATAAGCCGGTGTGCTGCATATATACACATCTACACACTGACCACCGCTATCCACAGGACACACAGGAAACAACATGGCACTTGAGCTGCACCGGGAGAACCTACCTTTTCTTTTGGTCCTCGCTTCTCCAGATAGCCTTCATAGTAGCAGGGCGGGAGCTGCGCCCGGGGTCCCCCCGGCCCGGAGCGCTGCCTGACGGGTGCAGCCGCCATGAGTGTCACTGGCTGGGCACCGACCGAGGACAAAGGGGGCGCTGAGTAATTCGGGGAGGGACACGCCTTCCCCGATGAGATAGTGCTGTGGCAATAATCCAACAGCTGGCTGCTGTAGCCTGCTGTGCTCGGGGATCAGGCAGATGGGTGGTATAGTGCAAATTTAAAAATGTGATGGTTCGGGTATAACTGTACGGGACATAGAGATGTAGCCTATAACAAGACGAAACATCAATAGGTGTATTTAAATAAGAATCAGATAATCCTACACCGGCTCAGTAAAGACAGACTTCATCATAGAATATTTTGTCAATTATTCAGTTCTAAGGGGGAAAAAAACAAAAAACATTAGGAGCCAAATGACTAAATATTTATTTGAAGAACAGCATCCACGCCCCTTTACATAGTAAAAAATATACAATACTTAAAACACAGAAGATTACATTTAGTATAGAGGTAATTCATATCCTAAAGATAATCCAGGATAATCCCACTTTTGGTCCCCCCCACGTCACAGTTCAAGGATGAATCATTGCATTAAGACACAAACGGCTGTAATAAAGACACATGCAAAGCAGTTACATTTAAACTCGTACAATTCCATTAACATAAGTTATAATAAAATAAAGCTTTTTAGTCTGATAATACTTCATTTATCAATATTGTGAAGTGGAGACACTAACAGGTATAGAGCCATCGAATGCAGTGTTACTAAAGTCGTAGTGTTCACAAGTATTTCAGCTGTGACAGCAGCACACAAAAATTGATCTTGGTTCCACAACATCATTCATCGTCAAACATTATACAAGCGGCATAATAGCTCAACCTGCTTCATATTCTCCTTTTCAGGGTTTTTGTTTGGTGTAATGAGGCATGTTAACGCACACCTGAACCACACACTTATTACTCAGCATAGCCTCTGGCCCTCCACATAACATGAATATAGCAGGACTGAAAATATATCATTTAAGAGGCACATACTACGACAACAATGAGATTATTCCAGGGATGGACCAGGAGACTGAGCTCCAGAGGCACCATGGGATTGGGATGGAGCAGATAATGAGAAAGGGGACAGGGGTAAGGGGTAAGGGGGCAGGTGGTGAATAAAGACCAGTGGGGGGAGGGCGGACATAATCCATTGCTGTGTGCCCTCTCCAGCTGAAAAGACCTGTCTGTTCCACTCCCAGTTAAACCAGAGATTGGAGCAATGAGTAGGGCGGGGGCGTTCTGACAACGGGATCATTACAAGAGGAGAAAGTTGGTATTTTAGTGAACAAAACAAACATTTTCAGTTCACACTCAGCTTGTAATAGGCTTAATTGAAACTGAAACCAGCTATTGTGTGAAGGCCTTCCTCATTATAAGTAAATGCTGCACACAATAGCTTGGAGATAGCATCTTCTGTCATGAGTGGTGCACAGTTTCAGTCTGGAAACTGAGGCAGGTACAAAAAAAACACCCAAAACACATCAGATTCATTTTCATGCTCTGTATTAGAGGTCAGAGTAGAAAAGCAAAAACTTACCCCAGCACTATTTGAAGCAAACAACTCCCAGACTGAAAATGTGTAGACAGTTTAGTAAAAGCTCACAAAACAATGTGAGTGACACTGCCAGCAGTATCAATAAGCCAGAGAAAATAAAGGAACTGATGTATTCTTATGACTTCCAAGTGATTCTGAAATCTTGTGTCATACTGTTGAGTTTGAACAATAATGGGAACAAACGACTTCTCTTCCTTAAAATATGTAGTAAATAAAAGGGAAAAAAGCGTTCGCAAATATTTAAATTAACTTCCAAGAACTGAGCGTTCAAACAATGTTTCTGTCAAATGTCAAAAAGCAGCCTCAGGAAACATGTGCAACATTTCTTTGGCATCAGCTCTATAAGAAGAGAATGGAGTGCAGTAAGAAACAATGTAGGAGCTATGGATTAAAGAACCCCAGATATACTTTAGTGTGATGAAGGTGATAAAACTGGACTCTCAGGCAAAGCAATCATAAAACAACTTTTCTGTCATCAATTAACTGAGTTAATGTTTGTAACGCTGCTTCAGTTTTTTCCGAAGGTAGTGTAGGGATAGAAAAACATTTAACACACCTGACCGTTAATGATAGATGCTGATTTGATTCAGTTTTTTTTGGTTTTTTTTGAGGGAAAAGACAAACATAAAACAAGCAGCCATGTATGGATATGTATGGGTATAGTAATAGAGCCTCTATGACAAATGGTTAAGAGTGATCACTAGTACCACCAGAGGGCAGTGGAGGATAGTCTGAATCATTGAAAAGAGGCAGCCAGTCCTCCATGTAGTTATTCTACAATAACAACAGCACTAAGCCTGCAGACAGAACTAAAAACTGGGTGTATAAAACACTGCATTGAAATGCATGTGTGAAGTACCAATATGCTGAATTTGATTTATTTGAGTTAAAAAAACTAAACATTATATACTTAATAAGCGTATGTGTATACATATGTATGTAAAGTCTATGCATGTATGCATGTATGCATGTATGTGGGTGTGTGTGTTTGTCTGTGCGTGCAAACCTCTAAGGGTAGAGGTTGTTTTGTATGGTACAGCATGCTTTTACTAATATAATTTTCTCTGGATCTTTCTTCATCAGTCCCAGTGGTGGAGGTGTACAAAGTGCATAGGTGCATAGAGTTTGAATGAAAGGATTTCGATTTTTGTAAAAGCACCTAAACATTTGTTTTGCTGTTTTTTTCTAATTAAACTGTCCTGACTGTTCCATTAAATCTTGATGTAATGTTAAACAAAGCTATTAACTTTAGATACACAAATAATGTCCCTGTATGAAGATGTTTACCCTTTCATAAAAATGAAGAAAATATATCTTTTGAGAATTAATGATGCTCTCTCTTCCCCTCTCTTCCTGCTGTGCCTCTCTTGCCGTGCTGTTTTCATTATGGCAGAGGGACTACAACTTCAACATAATTGTTAGGGAAGAATCCAGATTTGCCGCGAATGCTTCCCTCCAACCAGTTCTCATCGATCTGACTGACCAAGGTGATGATGTCGCCCTCATGGAAGGCCAGCTCTCCGTCGTTCTCTGGCTCGAAGTCATACAGGGCTTTGCAGCACGGATCAGCTGCACATAAAGTGAAGAGAAAGATTTTAAGAAACTTTCATTATGTGAAAAAAGCAACCTTCAAGAAGGATAAATAGATTCCCTTAAAAGAGTATTCATAAGAAGTGACACCAATGTGTTTTCCAACAGGACTCTGGATTAGATCATAAAACAAACACCGGTAAAAGAGGACATGTTTAAAAGTTAGTCATCAGTGTGGTAAGAAAGCAATCTTTTGAACCTCAAGATCAAAATCAGTCTTCTGACATATAACATCGCCACGGTTTTACTGTTCCAGTCATGACAACAATTTTAAAATTTTGTTTTTAGAAACATTTACTTCCTTTTGTTTGTGAATCAAGAAGTGAAATGTTTATAAACCATGAAATGATTTTTCTTGAGCTTCAGAAGCTTCACAGGTCAGTGAGCCAAGAGAAACAGAATTCAGCAAAACAACGACTAGTTAAAAAGAAACATCACAATATTTAAGTGTAATTAACACAGTATATAACACAGTGAATGATCACTTCAATCTAAAATGGAATGAGATTTGCTAATGACTTTCTTCATCTGCAGCCCAAGTCAGACAGACTCATTCAACACTCTGACAAGCTCCGTCTTGTTTTGAGATCTGACAGAGTGGACTGAGTGGACCCAACAAACATCGTTCAGTAATGTTAGTTGAATACTTCACTATCACAGAGACATGCATACACCTCTCCCAACAGAGGCAGTGAAGGCAGTGATATGCCCTGCTGCTGTAGTGAGACATGTGAACTTCATCCGTCTAACTCACGGGCTTTGTTTTTGATGGAGGATCTGTTGAAGGATGGGCCGCGAAATTGTGCTGAGGGAGCTTTATGTCACAGAGGGAAAAACACATCAGTCTGAAGAATGAGATCAACTTGCACACAAGCCTTCTTCAGAGTACACAGACATACACTCACACAGATCATTAAAAAATATACAAATATAAGTTTACCAGGAGAGTAAGCTGGAGGGCTCGCGGCAGCTGGGGCGTAACTTCCATTAGATTGTTCCACATCTCCATAGTCAAAGGCTGGTCTGGGCTTGGGTGTGTATTCACGCCTTGGCCGAGACTGAGCATCATTCACTCTAAGAGAGTGTAATAAAACACAGTGTTTACTACAGCTACTGCCTTCAGAACACTCTCCCTCCACTTTAACTACTGTTGTAAAAAACACACAAATTAATTCAAATTGAGTGATGTGAGATCCTTCAGCAGTTCTGGTTGCTGTCTGATGCTCCGTTCAGATCGCACGCCAATGATTTGGCTTTACGTGGTCCGCTTAAATGCAAATTTTCTGTGTAGTTATAAATTATGAAAAAGTAAAAAAAAAAAGGCACGCACATTTGAGATGGTTAAAGTGATGGGTCCTGGACCAAAAAACATCAAAGATAGAAAAAAGTACTGAGTCAGCACACTAGAAGCGAGAGGCCGAAATTCAATTTAATTTATTGGAGCTACATCTGGTGTGCGGACTCAGTACTTTTTTCTAGCTATATACTATGGTCATGTAGCTTAAGCCTTAAGGTACTAATGAACGCTTAATAATGACTAATAAGCGGCTAGTATCTAATTAGCATGCTAATAAGCAACTAGTTAATTGTTTGTAATTGATCTGAACAATTGAGACTTCTCTCTCCCTTACGCCTTTTATTATGTTTAAGTTGTTTTAATAGTTTTCTTTCTCTCTAATGTGTTGTTCATTATTACATCTGTTTAGTAATCTGTTACAATGTCACAATGGATGACGATCTTGCTGGCTGCAAACACATTTCCCTACAGTTACAAATTAAGTCACTTGAACCTGAATATTGTGACCTTGATTTTAAGTGTTACCATTAATTTAAGTATTAGACAGCTGGCTTGCCGCCTCTTCTGACAAAGCAGCCACCACCTTAACAGAAATGTCCTTTGGGAAATGTTGAAACATCATGTCTCTTAGCTGCCAAGTAGGGGGGTGCACAGATACAGATATAGATAGGATAAACATTAACATGTACATTTTCTTGCCGGTTACAATCCAGTTACCCCAACTACAAGTAAAATGTCTGAATAAATTAAACATTGTTCTACAAACCAAAAATATTCATCTTTACTCCTGTGTTGTTCAGTTATGAAAATGATTAGCACTCAGCTTTTTATGCTCCTTCACATTCATTGTGATGATCCTGCTGAATCATTGCTCGTCATGAATCAGAGGACACAACATACGAAAGGAATGCTGTCTTCCACAAACAGTCGCAGCACTGACCTTTCTCTCAGTTTGTCAGAAAGCTCCTCGAGCACCTGCGTGGCCTGTCTGTGGTACTGCAGCAGGGACTCCACCAAAGAAGACAGCTGACTCACCTGCTCCACCTAAGAGTGCATGCATACAAAAATCATTTTACAAAACCAGACACAGTGACAGCAGCAAAAGCATTCTTTACTGGTTTACGTAGGCATTCCAGTCCATCACTGTTCCACTGGTTGTTAATCACGTCAGTACAGGTCATCATTACATTAACGTCAGCTCTGAAACATGTCATGCTGGCAGGTTTGAAAATGGTAAATACCAAACAGAACAGGTTTAACAAGCTCCCACTAATGCTAGTCACTATGGAAAAAACAAGACTCACTAATGCTATCCTTCAAAGACGTTAACATGTTTCATGCCACTTGAAAAGCTGTCAGCAGCGAGCAACAATAGAAACAGAGATATCAGACAGCAAGAATGTATATTAGAACATGAAATACAGTCACATTTACAAGAATCCTTCAGTTTTTACTTTCTGTGGCAGCTCCAAACAGCTCTACTGCTATTTTCTAGGGTAACAATTGTTGTTATCTAACTTATGTTCCAAAGAGTATACAATAATTCACTTCATTAATACAGCATTAGAATATGTTAATAAACTCATTTGCTTCCATCAAAAGAATTTTTTTTATTCTGACACTACAATGAAAATTAAAGTTGCTTAACCTGCTTCTCCAAGTCTCAGTTTCAGTATTATGCCATGTGTGAACTCTACTAATCAACCACTTAATGAATTTGATGTTGTATGTAATCAAATATTCGCCCTATAATTAAAAGACAATTGATTAAATAAAATAAAATAATCAATCCTCAAAGTCCATTACAGAAGCCTACTGTATAGTAAACAGGATGGAAAATAGAAGCAGGATATCAGAATAAACTGTTTGATACAAAGAACTGCAGCTGAAAAGTACGATCAGGATGCTTGTTACAAATTCTTTGTTTAAGTTTTCCATGTGCAGTCCAAAATGATGGGCAGTGTAACATACCAGTACCAGTTTAGTCTCTTTCAACAGATTTTGTGCACCATGTTCTCTGCTATCGATTTATAACTGTCTTACTTTCACTCAGTTGTTGCAGCTTTCATAAAAATGCATACATTCAAACTGCTATAAAACAAACAAAAAAATAATAATAATAAAATAAATAAATCTTAATGCATCACTGTTGATCATATTTAAGGATTACACTGAGTTATTACCAATACCAGGTTACATAAGACCAATGATCATTTAAGCTGCACATCAGTCCGGTTGAGAGCAATCAAATGCTTACAACAAGTTGTCAGCCAAAGGGAGGAAAACCCAGACAGGGTTTCCCCTAGAAAAGTTGTTAGGCTTAAACAACAGACTGATGGCAGTATTAATGTAGGTCCCTTTAGTTTCTGCAATTCCAGAGTCAGAGATCAAATGTAAATGTTTAAAAGATTTAGCATCAATTCCAAAAAGCCTGCTTAAAGTCAGAGCTAGAGCTGATTAGAAAGCTAGAGCTTTGGAAATATGACTGTGTTGTTATGAATAAGTCATTTATGAAACACGCACTTTCAAAAACCAACATCGCCAGCAGAGTTGAATAAGAAGAGAACACTGCTGTGTTTTCATCAACAAACAAAATATGGATAATTACATTAAAATTGAAAAAAATATTTTGCAGTTTGTCATCTCAAAAGAACAGTAAACATGCATAACTTTAAGCCAAAACAGTTATACTAAAGGTCGACCCCAACACAGTAGTTACATATTGAGAAATGAGCTGTAGAAAGCAAACCTATTTCTGTGCAGAGTGTAAACAAAGTCACCTCTGCTGTAAACTTGAGCTTTTTAAAATGGTGCTCTTAGGAGGTGGATGGGATCAATTTTTTAGCCAACCTCAAGTGGCCTTTCGGCGAACTGCAGTTTTTGGAACTTGTAGGTTGGCCTTACTTTAGAGCCATGGGGGTTGCAGCTTGTACTCAACACTCTTTGAGGTTAGAGCACCCTGATCTAAAATATTCTGGATGTCTTTATTGCACTCACACTTTAACCTACTGACACTGATGTAAACTTCACAACTTGTATATCTATGTTTCCACATCACAGTTTCACTGTTGCTAAAAAACATCTTAAAAATAAATATAAATGGCTAGGCAAGATGGACCACCAGCCTTGCAGTACGTTGGCTTTGATCTTGCAGAGAACATACAAATTTGTATGAAGGTGTTTCAACAACTAAACAGGTCCAGATGGTACCAATATGCCACCTGCAGTGTAAAGTGAATCAAGTTAAGCCTACAGCCTACTCACATCTGTTTCCAGCAGGTTGTGCATGGAGCATTCAGCCATCTCTTTGGACTCGTGGAACTTCTCCAGGGCCTGCCTAAGTTCTTCGTCTGGGATTTTACCTTGGCGTTTCTTTTTGTAATCATAGTCCAGACGGCGGCCCTCCAGCTTCTTAAGATGGTGCTGAGAGATGATATCGGAAGGGTGAGGTTATAACAAAGGTAATATTTTTTTTTCACTGCTTATGGGAGAAATGTGTATAGTTTAAACTTGACCCCTAAATTCCACCAGATGCGTCTTCGGTCCGTCTCAGCTCCATTAGAGCAGCGGAGCTGATAGATTTTTATATTACGGTATTATTCAATGTGTTTGCTTTCATTGGCTCCGCTGCGCTGCCTCTCAGCTCCAGCCCAGTCAGGAGTCACCTGCAGAGGATAAGAAGGCTTCTTCTTTTGCCGGATGCCGGAGCAATATGTATCAATTTACCACAGAGCAAATCAAGCAGGACAGGAAGTCAGACACCAGAACAACATTAAAACATCCGGTTTATATCCAGAATATAACATTCTGTTTTGACGGTTCAGAACAATGACCTAACGTGTGTTTGTTGACGTTTTGGCACTCCAGCTGTCCGGTGGTGCTGCTCTCTGCTGCGCACTGACAGACGAGGGTGCACAGAGCCGTAATGGAGCGGAGCAGACACGCAATGCACACATATCTGGTGGAAGTTCAGGGTAATACATCAATTTTTTTCATGCTATTGCAGCTGATAAGACTGAGGGACTGTGGCTCTTATTAGCGAAGGCCTTGCCTGTACATGCAGAGGTATACTACATCTTTAATTTTACCTGAATGTCTTTGACATCCTTCTCCGCAACGGCCTGCAGTGGGTCAATAAAGTTCTGCTTCACATCAATATCCAGAGAGTCCTTGACCTCTGCCAACCTCTTCATTGAATCTCCAATGTCTATCAGAGCGCCACCTGCAGAACACACACACATCCAAGATACCAGCTTTAAGGCATGTGGAACATCTCTAGGCATGTTAATAACAACCTGTGGTTCTAATATAAGGGGAATTAAACCATTAACAAACAAATAGATACATACATAATGTGTCAATGTATTTTTCAAAATAAAACATTCATCTCTCTTCCAATCTTTATCTCATCCTAAAACTGTGTACACATTCTTACCAAAGTTAGTGTCCTCGCCCATATCCCGTCCATACTTAGTCATGCACTCCCCCAGGAGGCCCTCAGACTGGGGGTAGCCCGGACTCTTAACCTGCCCACGGATTTTGGACACTGTGTTAAGCATCGAAAGCTTAGCTCTTGTTGCTGGGTTGGGCTGGAGGTACTCTGATGTTTTATTAATGACTTCCACCACTGCTCTGCTGGTCACATCTGCTCTCTGGTGGTAAGGGTAAGAGATTGGCAATAGTTATAACCGCTAACTTGTGTTTAGTTTAAGTATATTCCATTTCATTTTTTTGTGTCTGTTACCCTCTCAAGGTCTTTGAAGTCTTCATTCAGTTTGGTTCCCTCTGCACCACCAACCTTCTCACTCACCAACTGTGAACACAAAACAATACGAGCATATTCACTGGTCTCTTGTTGGTGTCAAATTACATCATTTTCACACTTCACTTCACCAATTTTACTTCATTCCCTTGTATACCAGATTCATATACGTCCTATTCTATTTATTTCATCTATTCTTATCATTAACTTTGATTTGTATTGACCTACAGTACTTGCTATTTTTGTTTAACTGTTGCTGTAACAACTGAATGTCCCCTGTGGGGATCAATAAACTATAATCTTATCTTTAATTTTTCCAAAGCAACTACCTAACAATAAACACATGGTCATAATTTAAAAAAAGGATGGATCAAGTTCTTTATATTAAAAAACAATAGTTGACATGTTTTAACCTTTGTTTTATCAGGATTGAGATTGAACATGTCTATCATTGTATATTTATGTACACTTTCCTAAACTTTTCTGTCTCACTCCCAAACTAGACCCTAATGCTTAGTTCTGTCTACTTGTGATCCCATCAATCAAAAGGGATTTTAATACCAGGTGTAACTGCCCAATACTTTCTGAAGGTGATATGAGTTCACAAGCTTAAAGACATTTCAGCAGGGTGTTGTCAAAGGGGCTCAAACCATACCTTCAAAGCCACACTGTTTTTCTCTTTAACAAATGAATGGATATTAAATATCCCACAGTTGTTTTTCCCCTCTGGCCTGTTTAGCAAAATTCTCAAATTCAAGACATGTCCATGTTTTCCAATCTCAGAACAAACCTATTATTTTATTCCAATTCTTCACAAGGCTGAGAGGTCTGGAAACCCAACTTGACTCTTTCCGTGCATTGGGAGCCTCTTTTCCATAAGGAATTATACTGGAGGTTTTTTGTGTTTCCGTCAGGTCAGCACATACACTTCCATTTCCTACTTGACAGCCACATCCATGGATTCTTTTACTAAACACACACGCTAACCCTATCCTACCAACACTACCTAATTCAATTTCTCACTGACAAATGGCACATAAGTTCTCCACTCCTCATCCATAGCAACAAACTCTGAAGTCCTGAGCAGTTAGCTGGCAGGCCAAACAGAGACTCACTGTGTGTCTGTTCCTCTTTTTTTTCCAACTCTGTGCAGCTGTCATAACCACTCTACTGTAGGACCAAATGGATCAACCAATTGCTAGCTTACACAGCACACAGGCATGGCAAAGTTATGTTGTATGAAACACCATTAGCTTTGGTTCATGGGATACTTCAGTAGGACATGTTTAATAATGAAGTCTAAAAGACAACAATCTGTTTAAAACAAATGTATCTCTTGCTTCCCGATGTCAAAGTTGTAGCTAACTGTATGAAATCCAAACCCAGACATTTTCAATACCTCATCTGCCTTTAAAGAAGAATGTGCGACATTATTCACATAAATACAGCAGAAATCAAGTATATCCTCCGTAAATGTCTCTCTGAGTCACGACTGTCTACGGGAGTGAGAAGCGTGAGTCCCGCTAGATGTATTGTTGTCGGAGCCATGATTACATGGACAGGGCGGCCTTGCGTATAAAGCTGTTTAAACCAAGGACTAGAGAAAAGAAGAATAACACACTCACTGCTTCTTTGGATGTCACTCAAGTGTGTTTAGAACACGGTCATTCTGTCAATGTATGTGCAATATGAAGCTATGCCAATGAGTTAACCAACATGTGCTAAGACTAACCTACTAACACAACGATGCAGGACACAGGCAACTGCAGCTCGAGCAAAGGACAATTCTGTCCGCTGCTTTCGCTTAATGGTACTTAATTATGGGCGTTCTAATTCAAAACTACTTCTTGCTAACGCAAGGGGAGAGGGGTTGGAGGTGTGCCGCTGGAGGAGAGCGGAGGCTTCAGAATAGTGGAGTTGTCACCAAACAGCAGTTTGTTTTGGTTTAATGCTGCTGCTCAAGGGTGAATTCTACTGGATTAAAAAGTTAATTAAATTAAATTAAAACTAAAAAAAAATCAAAGTTATAACATTAAGCTTTACATGTCCCTTTTTTCTAATGGAATCGAAAGAATACCAAAATAAGTAAGGGTTTAAAGGTTGGTGTGGAGGTGGACTTAGGGTTGTGGCATAGTCAAGTCAAGTCAATTTTATAGCTACCAATTACTACAAGAACAAACTCAGGACAATTTTCATATGTAGCAGGTTTAGACCTATACTCTGTTTTAATACTATTTTGAACAAAGACCAAATCATTCCAACAATAAACAAAAACATTACACATGGATTAATTCTTGTTGGTCAATGACATAATCAAGATACATGAGATGACGAGGATTAAAATGAAACAGTGAGTCAACTAAACACAATGTTCACAGCATCAACTGAATATGTTGCTAACATTCAAACAACTCTGTTCAATCATTAATTGAATATCTAGAATATTTTATTACATGATCACTTGGACCTTGTTAGCCAACTTACACAACTGATTACACTACTCCACCCTTTTCTTTCTTTTGAAAGCCTGAATGGCAACCATAACAATTGTTGGCCAGGCATGTACAGGGCCTATGACCTATTGGTAAACATACTGTAGTGCCAACAAGTACAGTGGGAGTTTGCTGGTGCCCTTATTTTTGTTTTGTGTCAACTGATTTCAACTACTTAACTAAGCCTTTACTGCATTACTTAAAAAGTGGAAGCTGGTTTGGGCAGAGTATTCACATATTTAGGATTCCAAGGCACACCCACTGAACATTGAGCTGTCATTTCCCTGAGGACATTGTGAAAGACCAAATTATGAAGGTGTTGAAATGCAGGTGTCCACGAAAACATATGCCATAAGAGTGTTCAACTGCTGTTCACATGGAACCCTTCTCCACTTCGGCCTTCAAAGTTCTCGTTTGAATATTTGCTACTACCACCAAGATCTGCATAGACCATGTCTTTTAGCGCTTCAATATTTGGGAGCACACTAAACTGCCTCAAAATACTTTCGTCCACGGAAAAATGTGTTTTTCTAAATACAGAGGGACAAGGCCAACCTAGCTAATATTTCAATCAACGGGGCTGTGATGCTGATGTACAGATGACAGTGCATTTTTATTAACATTTGACTGACATGGAAAGACGAATATCCATTTGTTTCAATATTTGCTTTGTTAAATAGGATTTGCTTCCAAAGCGCCGTCTGGTTTCACCTGGTGATTCAGGTCATGTCTGTCACACTGAGAGCGTAAACAAAGTTGTTGAATTAAAAATGAAATGTTCATCACAGAACGAGTACAAAAAGATTTTTTTTTTTTTTTTAAAAGAGCCTGAAATTATTAGTTGATGTATTGAATTACCTCAGTTCCTGTTTGACATTACAGCAAGTATTTGTTTGCGATAAATAATGACTTTCCTTAATTTAAACGTAGAAGTGTGGAATTAAACAAAAAATATCCATACAGATCTAGTAAGTATTTAATGATATTAACAGACATACTTTGATGACAGTAGGCTATTTAAGTTATAAAAGTATTAAGTTAGAGCAATAAATATATATATATTATATGAAATTATATTTATGAATCTTTTAAACATGTTGTACTGTATCAACAAAACACCTTGGTAGATTTTGTTATGACAGAAAATGTAGAGGTCACAAAGATGAAGCAAACAAACAGAGCAATAATACTTGATTGACGGTGTCTCTTGTGCACATACCATCAAAACACCAACAATATCTGTATATAGTATCTCCATCACTTTTAAACACTCTCTAAAAGAAGCCTCACTTCCGGGTCATTTTGATAAATAAGCGTGAAGTTACAGTTCAGGAACAACACGAAGCTAGACGGACAAAACTTATCAGAAACATATGGCAATGAACTGTTAACCTACCACTGAGAAACGTAATAAACACAAAGCAAAGTAAGTATTTATACGACTTCAGCACACTTTCCTAAAATAGAGGCAAATGATGCTTTTGGCAAGCACAACGTGGTTAAGTTAAGTAAATGTTAACTTGCTTACCTCGTAGATTAGCCTAAGCTAATTTAACAACACAACAAGCAGCAACCACACATTTAAGTTATGAAAGAGTGCATTAACTACTGAGCAAGGTAGTCTTAAAATTAAAAAAAAAAACAAATACAGTGACTCTTGATGCGTATTTGTTTTTTTTACTCTAGTTGGCTTCAAGTTAGCGGAAACGCTCATTAAAAAGTAAGGAAGACGGTGCTAGCCGAGTAAGCTAGCTAAGCTAAAGGGCTAAAAAAAAAAAAAAAGAGTTGCGCGTTTACCTGACTTGCTTTGTAAAATTGCTTCTTAAATCCTGCGACCGACATATTGAACCGTCAATGTTGCCACTTGGACCTCGACGGGGGAAAAAAAGGTTGTTTTCGTGCAGCTGCTGTGAGTTTGAAGGTGTGTAAGCACGGACAGAAGTCGAGCAACACGTCTTCAAACTTTGCACCGCAGATGTGGAACTTGCTAGGCAACCACAATTTCCTGGCTCCGGCTGCATGAGGGAGGAGGCTCCATCCCGCTGGATAAAGTGGGTCAAACACACTCAAACACACACACACACACACACAATTCATGCATCCAAACCTGATCCAAACATCCGTCTTTCTTGGCAAATGATCAAAATGAATAAATAGCTGAACTAAACACATCTGTTTTTACTGCTAGATATGTTTTTGTTGCTGCTGCATACTTTAAGCCCCTTTGAGGACTTTTTTTTTTTGGTTGGTTTAATTGTGATTGCCTCTGAAAAACAACCCAGAGCATCAAGATTGATTAATTGTAGTAGTTTTGAATGCTTTTAACCAATGTAGATTGGGTTGGTCTTTATTTAAACTCTGTACTGCAAAGTGAGTGATATTTGTGTCTGTTACAAGACAGCATGATGTGATTTTTGGGTCAGATAACAATACTCACATAATCATGACAAAATCAGAAAGGGGTCCTAGTGCATAGACTGTGAATATTATTTTACAGATTTAATTTTGTGCCTTTTGTGCCTTTAATTGACAGACAGGACAGTGGATAGGGTCGGAAATCAGGGAGAGAGAGAGTGGTGAATGACATGCGGGATTTGAACCCTGGCCACCCGCTTGGAAGACTAGCCTCCATATATGGATATAAAGGCAGGGTTGGTCATTTTCGAAAACTAACATGATTTTGCAAGCACCCTCAGTGCTCAGTCTACACCTACACCATCCCCCTCCCCTCTGTGCTCCCTCAATAGCCACGCCCCTCACTTACATGCAGAAGTGGACCTCTGCTCATCGCTCGCTTTGCATAGAAACCATAGACTACTGAGTGTGGGCTAGTGCACACATTGGGTAAGAGAACGAGCAGGGAGACGGGGAGGCATGATTGGATCATCAAATTGGTACCTCATGGCAGACATCGGTAGAAGTTTTTTTACATGCTTATAACTGCTACAGATGACAGATTTTCTTCGTTCCTTTTTCAGAGCACATGAATAATTCAGTGTCATGTCAAGACCTTAAGACAATTTCTACCAAAATCTTAAATAGTGTATCTGAAGAAAATTGTCAACCCTGCCTTTAAGGTTTAGAGGTATCGCTTTGTCCACAGGGGGCCCCAAAATCAACACAAACTGAAAGTTCCTCACACCATTATCACATTAATATAACCTCCAAATGTAATAGTCCCTTTCTATAAAAAATTAATAGAATATGTACTGACAGATATGTTAAATAGTTAAGTGAAGGTGGGGCTTCAAATGATGGTGGGGTTTATAATGATTATGTTTTCTATCACATTAGCCATTTATCTGTTGTTCTCTAAAACTTGAGAATTGCAACCAGCAAATTATTTTGATGTATAAAAGACTGTTATAATCAACATGTAATCACATTTCTGACTGTTATTTTTTTCTTAATTTACCATCAAACTGGTCTACCAGTTGTGATTCTGGTAGGAATGTGAACACATGTAAGTCTGTGATTGAAGGATTAGACGGTCAGTATCGCCTTTTACATTTCCCGTAAAAATATGTCGGATTGGTTTAATTAGAGACTCTTCGAAAAACCCATGGAGTCAAAATATAAGGACATTTTATTGATGGATGAACTTCAACGTTTATGTTAAATAAGACTCAATGAAACATTTTAAAAGAAAAGGAAACCATTTATTACATTCGTAAAACCACATATAATGTATCCCATTGGACAACAATATATATTGCGCTGTGTGACTCAGTTACTCTTGGACTAGTAATATACCTCTTGTACATTTTGTCAAAAAGGGAAAGAGAAGGGAAAAAAACTATTCTTTTTCGTTTTGACTTGTCCTAATCTTTCTTCAATAAAAAAACAGATCACTGACTTTACAAGACAAAAGTGGAGCCACTTAAAGAAAGGTAAAGAAAAGACTGACAAATAAATGTAAATCACAGCAAAAGAAACATTTTAGCCCGATAATAAAATCCATCTTTAACTCTTAACTGATTTAGTCATGGTTTTTTTTATGAACTCCTATGTCTTGAAAAAATGTAAAGTTACAATATTAGGACAAACGGGAAGGGCTTTGACACTTTGTGAGTAACATTCACAAAAATAGAACACAGTGATAATGGTTATGGGTCTCATCTAAGGTGCAAAGGTGTGAGGAGCACAAGGCTTGAAGATGACACTGGTTATAAAGGGACAAGAAGAGATCACAGCTAGCTCCCTGAGCCGCAGGTCCGCAGACTGATCAAGAACATCACAGCACCCGAGTAAGACATTATTACCATCATCTTAATTCTAGACCGACCTGCAGGAAGTGTGTTATTTATGTACATGATTCATGTAAACAGATGTGGATGATTTTGAATGACAGATATGGAATTAAAAACGAAAGTAAAGAACTGACTGACTGAAAACCACAAAGTCTTACTGGCTTTGAGGCCCAACTCAGGGGGCAGCTGGTAGCTCTGTCTGGCCTCAGACTAGTGTCCAGCGAGAAAGAGGAAAGTATAAGTGCTTGGTGATTGGACAAGTGTTGGCTTTGGGACTAAAAGAGAGAGGAACAGCAAATGTACAAAATAATACAGATGCTCCAATCAGCAAGGAGGGTTTATGATACATATTATGAACCATGAGCGTCCCAACCTTTAACCAAAATGAAACATTATGAATGAAAAACAAATATTCTACAACTATGGTACTGATTAATGATTAGAACAGGTGGGGAAACACTGTGTATCCCCGTTCATCATACAGTTCATGAAGTCTTCTTTTGCCTTGCTTTCCATTTTCTTTAGTGTCCTGTTTGTTCTGGTGTCTCTTTAGACAAGGGGGGGGGGGGGCAGGCAGCGACAGCGTTCACTGAAATCTCTCAGTTTGATGCAATGAAAAAGGCAATGTCATTTTCGCCTTTGTTTTGGGTATGCTGCCCCCCTCCCTGCTGCGTTGCATCTGCAACAAGTGTCCACCCCATTGCTTGACCGCGCCTTACCCAGTTGGGCTTTGGCGTCATGGGCAAGAAGGGGTTGTTGCCCAGGAAACCTGAGAGTTCTGTCAAAAAAGTGAATAGTCCAGAAAAACATTTTAGTCCAAAAAATCTGCCTTCATGAAATATCCATCCTTTCCCTCCGGCGTCTCTTAACGTCTCGCTTTCCACTTTTCTCTCTGGACTGAACTCTCTCGTTCTAACACTCTCCATATACTTATATAGTCATCTATTTACATTCTTATTTAAAATATTTGTTTATAAATGTGTATATAAATTAAAGATAATTTCATCTTTTCCTGTTTCTAAGTGGCATTTACAAGGAAAGGGGTGTGTGGGACTGAGGTTTCTCATTGCATTACAAAAGCCTACAAAGAGGCAGCACCGAACATTGTCTAAATGTGTGCGAGACTGGTTCTATGCTGATTATGGAAGTCAGCCTGAGCTGTGAGTCATATCATATCTGTGTGTCCTTTATTTAAGAGAATATGACTCATGATCTTGGTCCATAAGCAATGGTCGGTAAAAGGATATTCTCAGTATGAATACGCAAAGGACACCATACTGAGATGTATTAATACAGAGAGTTGTATCAAATACGCTGTTGATCAACATGTCTTCTTTTACTATGTGTAAAACTCTGTCTCAGAGTGGCAGGGTTGTACATTCGCTGTAGATAGGTTCTTAATGGTGCACTGGTGCTGATCGATGAGGTACATTCATAAATGGTTGGGCGATCCTCCGTGGATCTGATGTTCAAAAATGGTTCGAGCTTAGATCGTTCACATGCTAAGTGGGCTGCTGTGTTATTACTACAATGCCCATCCTGCTTGTATTTAATGCTACAATACGCAGAGGACCATGAGCATGTGTGGTCTGTAGTGTAAGGTGCTTTTGCCTGCTGGGAAAATGGAGGACTACTTTGGGATCATGGGAGACGGAGTATTTAAAGTCCTGGATTGTCTCGTTACTGCTGGTAGTTATTGAGCTTCAACATCTCTATTCTACTCTGTCTCTCCTTTTGCTTCCCTGCCTCTGAATAAACTCTTTCCATCCCTCTGGTATGTCTATCTAGCTGTTGGTGGAGTCAGGCAGAGACATCTCGCTGCCAAACACTTCCCGGTACAGTGGTGGGAAACTGTAAGCGGTCTCCGGATGGACCAAACGGAAAAACTCCAGTTTGTCAATGTGGAGGTTACAGATAGACTTCATTGTTGGCAGCTTGGACACCATCTGTTGGAACAGAAGACATACAGTACAAAGGTGAGTTTGTGTATACTAACATTCATGTAAATACCTTTGTTTGTTTATAAAGAGTGTTTTCCTTCACCTTGTCCAGTTTCTCATCAGAAGCTCCGCGGTTATGCAGACTGTGCTGTAGAGCCAGGTAGACTTTCTCCTGGAGTTTCTGAACCTTTTGGCCTTCTGTTAGCCAGGGTCGATCTACAGGAACGACAATGTTAAGCCATTAATATCAAAACCTTAATGTGTATTAAGTTGACACTGAGTTAAATATTCAAATCTAAGGCTGCAATGTTGTAACTGCTGTATAAGATCAAATCAATAAAATATATCAGATGTCTCGCACATCTTATTCTTTTCAGATTTTCAAAATAATCAGCTTGAAATATTTAGTATATAAGGAAACTTAAAGACCTCTACTACAACTTACGTTTACACTTTTGCATTAATAACATTTATATCACTTTGTCCTTTCCACACAATTTCAAAACTGGAAAATTGAGAATTGGAATTTGATGGAAGTTTATTTTGGGACACTATAATGGATAAATAATAATTGAAAACCTATTTAAAAACTTATATAGTTGAGTATGTGTGTGGTGTTTTATACCAAGGACAAAACAGCAATGAATAGACTACTGCAGGTCAAATTGTCTTCTCCTTGAGCATGATTGTGTTTTTTGTCTGTCTGTGTGAGCAGAAAAGATGAAAAAAAAAAAAAAAAATCACCAGGAGACAGAAGGACTGCGGCACTAAACAGAGCCATTTCTTCGTCTGACAGCTGCAGGCGG